TATGGTGTCTGAGTGTTGCTACCCCAGCGGTGGGGTAGTGGCAAGGGTGAGATAGACAAGAGAATCACTGGCCATCTTTGTAATAATGGGTGTTGTATTTATCTGAATGACACTCTTAAAAGATAGAATCACAGCTCAGGACTTGGCTTAGTTGGCAACGCGCTTGCCTGGCATACACAAAGCCCTGGGTTCCATGCCCAGCACCACATAGACCTGGCGTGACGGTGCACACCTGGAATCCCAGCACTGCAGCACAATTGCCAGGAATTTGAGTCAAACCTGGGTTACTTAGTGAGGCCTGTCTCAAGAAACAAAATGATAGTCTAGTAAAATGGATGCAGGGGGATTATGTCACACCTTAGGAGATGTGACAAGAGTGACAGTGTGGAGACTCCCAAAGCCCCTCAACAGCCTCAGGCTTCCCATCCTCTTCACCCCAATAGCCTGGGCTGTCCCCTTGACTACTGCTTATCTGAGGATGTTGCTATGTTTGCTTCCTGTTCCTGTCAACGGCACAGTGACCACACAGACAGTCCTGTGACTTCTGTCACAGCTGAAGGTCACATAGAAATGGCGTTCTCTAGTGGACAGCCGGGTGTGTGCAGGGCAATCTCCCACGATGGCTTCCAGAGCCACTGTTTGAGGCTCATGGTTGGTTCCCCCAAACTTTAGCACCACAGAGGCAGGCGCCTTGTCATCTCCTGCCGCCCTCTGTTTCGAATGTGTGGTGTGGTGTGTGTGTGTGTGTGTGTGTGTGTGTGTGTGTGTGTGTGTGTAAGTGTGTGTGTGTGTGTGGTGTGTGTGTGTGAGTGTGTATTATGAGTATGTGTGGTGTGTGTGACAGTGTTGTGTGTTTTGTGTGTGTGTGTGTGTGGTGTGTGTGTGTGTGAACAAGTGTGTGTGTGTGAGTGAGTGTGTGTGAGTGAGTCTGAGTGAGTGTGTGTGGTGTGTGTGTGTGTGTGTGTGTGTGGTGTGTGAGTGTGTGAGTGTGTGGTATGTTGTGTGTTGTGCGTGTGAGTGTGTGTGAGTAAGAGTGTGTGTGTGTGTGTGTGTGTGAGCAAGTGTGTGTGTGTGTGGTGTGTGTGTGAGTGTGTGTGTGTGTGTGTGTGTGAGCAAGTGTGTGTGTGTGTGGTGTGTGTGTGAGTGTGTATGTGTGAGTATGTGTGGTGTGTGTGACAGTGTTGTGTGTTGTGTGTGTGTGTGTGAGCGAGTGTGTGTGTGAGTGAGTGTGTGTGAGTGAGTCTGAGTGAGTGTGTGTGGTGTGTGTGTGTGTGTGGTCTGTGAGTGTGTGAGTGTGTGTGTGGTATGTTGTGTGGTGTGCATGTGAGTGTGTGTGAGTAAGTGTGTGTGTGTTGGGCGAGTGTGTGTGTGAGTGAGTAAGAGTGTGTGTGTGTGTGTGTGTGTGTGTGTGTGTGTGTGTGTGGTGTGTGCGTGTGAGTGTGTGTGTGTGTGTGTGTCTCACTGAGCCTACAGATTGCCGATTAGGTAGGTTAGTGAGCTCCAGGGGTCCTCTGTAACTAGTGCTGGACCACAGGTATGTGTAGCAACCAGGCCTTTTATGTCAATGCTGGGAAGCAAGCCCAAGTCCACATGCATCTGTGGCAAGCAGTTTACCAAACAAACAAACAAACAAACAAAAAATGGGTTTCTCTGTGTGGCTCTGGCTATTCTGGCACTTGCTCTGTAGACCAGGTTGGCCTCAAACTCACAAAGATCACCTGCCTCTGCCTCCCAAGTGCTGGGATTAAAGGCGTGCGCCACCACTGCCCAGTTCCAAATGTTTTGTTTCTCTTGGATAAACAACCAAGAGGAAGCAATGTTGCTTTACAACCCTGATAATGTCAGGATACTTCATCCAGGTATATTAACTATAAGATAACATTGGTCAGCTTGTGGGGCTGACATGGTGGCAGGGCTGGGGACAGTTATGACCAGAGCACCTCTGAACTGCCTGGGTCAATTTTGTGTCTCCTAACTTCTTGGTTTCAAATTTGGTCTAGCCTCCATGGCTGTGTGACATTAGCCAGGTGGCGCCACCTCTCTGAACCTCCATCATCTCCTCCTAAGTCAGGGATCATCAGAAGCCTCATGGTGTTGCTGCATGAATCCACACAGTCAGGGGGGACTGTGAGGCAAAAGTTCGCTTCCTTCACTGGACACAAATGCTCTCTCCACAGTGCAGGCAGTACTGGGAGTATTTTGGAGACATTAATCAAAACAGATAGACCAAAAATAAGTAATTGTTGAGGCTGGAGAGATGGTTTAGCCATAACAGCACTGGCTATCTTGCAGAGGACCTGGGTTCAATTCTCAGCACACACCTGGCAGCTCACAACTGTCTGTAACTCCAGTTCTGGGGGATCTGACGCCCTCTTATGGCCTCTGTAGCCACTATATGTGATACTCAGACGCATGAAGGCAAAACAACCGTACATATAATATAAACAAATTAATCTAAAGAAATGTTTTCACCGTTGAAAGCCCCTGGACAAAGAAGATAGCCATGGCTTGGGTATGCTCACTCAGTATCTGAAGCACTAAACAACCCAGAATCCAAACCTCTTTTAGTGCTGGCATGACACCATGGGTAGAAGGTTGATTGCCTGACCTCACAGAACCAACCAGAGACAAAACATGGTGAACCAAAAATATCAGATGCGACTGTGTGGGAAGCCTCTGTGAACTGGGTTTAGACTCAGATCCTTTGCCCAAGGCTTCTCCCTGTGTGTACGCAGCTATTCCAAAATACAAAATTCTCAACTC